TTGCCCCTGCCGGTCTCTAGCAGGCAGCAGCAGGGAGGCCCGATGAGAGGAGATGGGTGAGACCCTGATGCCATCTGCTGGACACGGCCCCGGCTCAACAACAACCCTGTCCTGCCAGGAGCTGCCAGAGGAGCATGGTCCCTGCCTCACCCACCCCAGTCCTGCTGCCTGCTGGCACAGGCACTGCGGGGTCTGAGAGATCTAATGGGCTAGAACTGGGCAAATACAGAAAGGCTGGTTTTAAACCATAACTATTCCAAGGTGTGAATGGTCACCTGGCCCTCTAAGAAGAGTCACAACACCACTAGGCAATGCTCCAGGCTTAGGGCAGAGCAGCTGGAAAGTGCCCAGGGGAAAAGGACCTGGGGGGTTGGCAACAGCAGATGCAGATGAGCCACGGTGTGCCCAGGTGGCCAAGAAGGCCACCAGCATCCTGGCTGGTGTCAGCACTGGGGTGGCCAGCAGGAGCAGGGCAGGGATCCCCCCCGTGTGCTGGGCACTGGGGAGGGGGCACCTGGAATGCTGGGCTCAGGTCTGGGCCCCTCAGGACAAGGAGGACATGGAGGGGCTGGAGCGTGTCCAGAGAAGGGCAGGCGAGCTGGGGAAGGGGCTGGAGCACAAGTGTGAGCAGGAGCAGCTGAGGGAGCTGGGGGTGTCCAGCCTGGAGCAAAGGAGGCTGAGGGGAGACCTGCTGGCTCTGCAGCTGCCTGAGAGGAGGTTGGAGCCAGGGGGGTCGGGCTCTGCTCCCCAGGAACAAGGGATGGGACAAGAGGAACCGGCCTCAAGTTGTGCCAGGGGAGGTGGAGGTTGGATCTGGGGAACAATTCCTGCCTGCCAAGGGTTGTCAGGGCCTGGCCCAGGCTGCCCAGGGCAGGGGGAGTCCCTATCCCTGAAGGGGTTTCCAAGCCCTGGAGATGGTGCTGAGGGACATTGGGCAGTGGGGAATGGGCAGGGCTGGGGGAACAGTTGGACTGGGTGACCTTGAAGGTCTTTCCCAACCTAAACAATTCTGTGATTCCCTGTTCCAGCACAGGGAGGGGAAGTGGCAGCACTGTATGGCCAGAATCCCTTCTTCCAGGAGCAACAATGGCTCAGCTGCTTTCATGTTTTATGGAAGTGAACACACTAGACCCAACACAGCCAGGAACGTGGCCTGAGAAGTTTTAAGAGGCCATCCCTCTTCAAGCTGCCTGCCAAGCTCAGACACCAGGGATGGGACAGCTTCAAATGAGAGCAGGTTATGATGAAATCCTAGAAAAAGGCAGGAAACTAATAGAAAAGCTACAGCTGTCAGATGGTGTAACAGAGGGATGGGGAGAGAGGAGGGTTTGCTTTCATTTTCTTTGAAGACACCAAAGCTTTGCCTGTTCAGCAGAAGTCGATGGGGAGCCTGGCAGGGAGCCTGGTAAAGGCAAACACTCTGTCCCCAAACAGGGACACGGTGCCAGTGCCCTTAGGGCCAAATGGGAAGCAGCTCAATCATCCCATTAATGGCAAATCAGAGGTTGCTCTGAAACCATCCACTAGCTCCAGTGTGTCCCCATGCACTTAAAAGGGCAGAAATCATCAGTACCTTGGTCTTTAGATCGTAGCGTTCCTCCTTGTGTGTGCCACTGTCCACCACGTGGACAATGTCATTGATGGTGATGGAGGTCTCTGCGATGTTGGTGGCCAGGACGATCTTCCTGACGCCAGGTGGAGGCCGCTGGAAGATGTTTTGCTGGTCCATCATGGGGATGTTGGAGTGCACTAAGAGATAAAACACTCAGTCCTGCCCTGCTGAGCTGCTTTGCAAGAGAAGGCCAAGGTGGGCAGGTCCTCAGCCCTTCTGTACCATCACCTCCCACTTCCAGAAATGGGGGACAGGGATTGGGACACCACTTGTTATACTGATGGTCACTGTTAGGAGTTTCCTGCCAGCCAGACCCCAGGAAAACTCTTCCACACATCATCTGGGAAGGTCTCATTTCACTTGCTTCAACCAATGGATCAGCATCAGCAGGAGCTCTGATCATCCCCTGTGCCCCAGAGGCTAATGCCACCAGGATGTTCCTGGGCCCCTATAAGTCCCACTGCCTCCTACAGTCCAGTTCTGCAGCTCCTCCATTTCTCCTGCCTCCAGAGCAAAGGAATGGCTACCCTCATTGTCATTTGGTTGCACTTGGTCAAAAATGGTTCTCAGCAAGGGCCTGTATCACATATTTGCCCTATGACAGGTCAGTGGTGCATAGAAACAGCCAGCAATAGCACAGAACAGCAGGGGAGCACAAGAACATGCAGGTGTCACAGAAGAACTGCTGCACTGATTAGCAACTGAGCTGCTCAAAGCTGTGCTCCTGGCTGGAACTATTTCACCTGGGTGGGGAGGACTATTAAGAAAAATAAACAAAAAAACCCCCATACAAACCAACCCCAAAAAATCTTACAGCCTTGCAGAGTAATACTGGCTTTTGTTAAACATTTCCCTCCCAGGATAGAGAACTCTAAATTCATTAATCAAAGCTGAGCTAGAGTACATCTCCATCCCACAGAACAGGTCTTGAAGATCTTCTTGATGTAAGCTCAGCATGGAGCTCCAGCAACACAGAGTTTAGCAGTTTCCTATTTGCCTAATTCTGAACTGCTGGAGGCAACTGGAAGCCAGTCTCTGATGACATCCAGGTTAGGATGGCCTCTGCCAGGAGGAGTCATTTGTGCTTAACGTGCACAATTACACAACAGGTACCCACACCTGAGCATACAAGCTTATGCAACAGTTGAAGGGGCTCATCAAGTCAATTGGCCTTCCCATTCCCCTGGATCCTGGGGAGGAAAGGTCTGGCACTGCCATCCCACCTGGCAAGAGCTGCCATCCCACCTGGCAAGACGAGGTAGCGGCTGTTCTGGGAGCCCAGCATCTCCAGCAGGCGCTGCTGCACTCCTTTGATTTCCTGCCAGCCCGGGAGGAAGCAGAGGATCCCACCTGGAACACAACACAGCATGAGTACAACAAGAGAGCTAGAAATCCCAATGTTTTTCCCCAGCTGGAGACACAGAGGGGCCACCCATTATTTCTCTGAGTCCACAGCAAGCTTTAACCCAAGAAAGCCAAGGAAAAGCAGGGCCCAGCCCTGGGATGTTCCTTGATCTCTAAAGAAACCTGCATCATACTTAGGGTGAACAACTGGCAGATACAACCACAATGGGAAGTCCGACCCAGGGGAAAGCTCATCTAGCCTTGATACCTGCTGTGCTCTGCTTCTGTGGCTTCCTTAGGGCAAGGTTTTACAGCCAGAAAACCAGGCTGCCTGCAGTGTGAGAGCTAATACCTCCTACTAGCTTTGAAACACTTCAAACACTTCATCAGAGAGCCCTGCCTCCTTCACAGAAACATCACCTCCCAGGCAAAGATATTTAACAGGAATGTGTCTCCAATGCAGAAATACACCTAAATCATGCAGCACCAGGCTGCAGAAGCTGGAGCACAGACAAGTCTTGTCCTTCACCCCAGGAGCAGTGATATCTCAGGACACTAAGACTGAGACACAGGACTTGGATGCTGTCTAAGCCAAAGACTCCAAATCATCTCATGCCACACTGCTTCAGACCACCCAGTTCAACAGGAATTCCAAGGTGGCCTTGCATAAGTCAGCTCAGCATCATGGTTTCTCTGCAAAGGGTCTGGGCTCTGCAGGGTTCACTTTGCTCCTGCCAGCAAAAGCAAAGAGCAAGGGGGGAGGCAGAACCTACCTGGTTCTCCATGGGCATCAATCTGGAGAACGAGATCAGTGATCAGATCGAGATCAAGGACACATTCATCATCTGATTGCTGATAAAACAGAAGGACACAGACAGGTAAGTGAGGGGCAATCTAGCAGAAAGGCACACGGCCTCCCAGAGCATCTTCTGCAGAGAGCAAAACGCCTGTACTTGGACAGCCTGCCCAGAACTAGGAGCCAAGAACCTCAGGAGCCTGGTTTTGGCTCCATCTGGAACCTGCCCTGGTCACAAGTGCTGCCAGTTTCCTCTGCTGAGCAGTGAGAATACACAGTCCCCTTCCCTTTCTGCAGATCTGGGAGCTGAGCTTTGTGTACCTTGGCAGAGCAGCACCTAACAAACAGCAAAAATTAATATGACATTCCTGGGGACAAAACTGTGCTCTATGCACTTGGGGCTTTGAACCCCACAGGCAGAGAGCTGCAGCTTCTGGAGCTCTCAGTAATTTGGAATGTACCTCTCATGCTTAAAAAGCACAGGTAAAAATCCCAGCCACAACAGAAAGAGGAAGATTGCCCTGAAGGCAAGGGAACACCCTCAGCAAGTTTGCTGATGATACGGAACTTGGAGAGAGGCTGATACACCAGATGGTTGCTCAGCCACAGGGAGGGACCTCTGGAGAAAGGGGCTGATAGCTTCTAGTCCAGCAAGCTGGATGAGGAAACATCTAGAGGTCACAGCCAACCTCAGTAATTCTGTGACTCCATGAACCCACAAGTGCAGAAAGATTACCCACAGCAGAGTCTATGTCTGGAGGGCATTTTCCAGAGGAGCAGTCAGACTGCAAAAAGCAGCAACCAGGAAGTCAGTCATGCAGGATGGTGAGCACTCTGGCAACAAACTGCTGCCAGGCATAAACAGCCTGCCCCAGGACCAGGCTTGCTGAGAGCACACACACATCCAGGCCTGCATCTCTATATACATACACCAGTACAAGAAGCTGACTCAAATGTAAACAAACTTCACAATAAAGAGGCACAAAAGTAACTTAGACCCAAATCTGAAGTCATTTCATAATTTAATCTAAATACTCTGGGATTCTACTAAGCTGACTTTACCTCATGAAGTGATGTGGAATCCCAGCTAAGCAAACACTGCCCAAAAACCACAGGGAAGAGGGACCAGTTCCAGGCCCAAACTCTCCACTGCTGGTATGTCAGGAGTCATCACCTCATCTAAGGAAAGAGCTCAACCATCACACTGCAAACCCACCTTGATCTCATAGTGCCGGTGTCGGTGCCGGCCCAGCTTGGCCAATATCTCCTCCAGATAGTACTCCTTCACTGGGTACATGAAACCTGGCACCTTCACCACAGGGCAATCCCCAAAGTAATGTGAGAAACGCTGATTATCCCCCGTGGCGCTCATCAACACCAGGCGCAGGTCAGGGTTGAGCTTCTGGATGCCATGCAGCAGGATAAGCAGGAAATCTGTGTTGACGTCTCGCTCGTGGACCTCATCGACCACAACGTGGCTGACCCCCTCCAGGCTGGGGTTCCCCTGCAGCTTCCGCAGCAGGATGCCCACGGTGCAGAAGAGTAGGGCTCCTCCCCTGGCAGGTGGCTTGCTCTCCAGCCGCACCTGGTAGCCCACGTTCTTCCTCATGTTGGGACCCAGCTCTTGTGCCACGCGCTGGGCGACCGAGATGGCGCTGATCCTCCTCGGCTGGGTGATCACGACGTTGCAGCGGGCGCCGCGTCCCTCCAGGATGTAGTGCTCCAGCAGGAGCTGAGGGATCCTCGTGGTCTTCCCACAGCCTGTGTCTCCTGCTATTACCACTACAGGGTTCTGCTCAATGGCTGACAGGATGGTGTCCTTGTGAGGATCTACTGGCAGTGGGTGGCTCTCCTGCCACGAGGATCCTCTTCTTTTCCAGAGGGCCAGGAGATTCTGGCTAAGGCGCACTTCCTCGGCTTCCAACATGGGGATGTAGGTCTTCCCCGTGATTGCATCACTTATGGCACCAGATTCCTTGCTCAGGTTCATCATGTCATCGGCAATCCGGGGCCTGGATTCCCTGATGTCCACTGGATACTGGGAGAGATAGAGAAAGTTAGCAGGGATGAAGAGATTAGCACTAGTCCTGAGAAGGACAGAAAGAAACAAGTGTCTGGAACAGACTCAGCCAGATTACAGTGAGGATTAACCTGGGCAGCTCCCTGCCTTTTCCTCAGCGTGTCCCCTGATTCAAGAGACACATCAGAGCTGATGCTTGAACCAACATGCACAAACCAGTAACTGGAGCTCTCCAAGTCAGAGGCTACACTGCCTACAAGTGATCCTCAAAGACAACTTTTGAAAGCCATCAAGTTCTGCCACCACGCTTCTCTCCCTCAGGAAATCCAGACATGTTAACTCACACAAAATGCAAGTGTTCACTTAAGCCAGAAACATTCCATCCTGGCAAAAGACAAGACATAAGTCCCAGAGGAAGAACTAAAAGAAGCTACAATAGGTCAGGAATTGTCTTCAACACAAATCAAAGCATTGGCCCAGATGTTTGCAGGATTAGAAGTTCAGCTACAAATCAAAATGACTCAGGTCACTCAGAAGCAGCTGCTGTCTCAGGTGCAGTCTGGACTTTTTAGGACATTCACTACTGCTATGTTTACAGTATTTGTAGGATCACTTGAGATCTTCACCCTTCAGGCCCAAGAGTTCTAAATCAGTGTCTTGCCAACTGCCAAACAGGGGCACCATTTTTAATGATTTCAATAAGCTACACACACTCGTACCTGAGCTGTGCTCAGTCTCACCCTACCCTACTGCTAACTCCTGCTTTGAGAGTGAATGCTCCTGAGGAATTAGGAACAGGCAGACAGATCTCCTGGGTGGAAGCACCATCAGGTGCCTCGGGACCTGCACTCACCAATGTACAATCCTGTGAAAGATACTCCCAAGGAGAATATACAAGTACCAGCACACAGTCCTTGTAAAGCTATGAGGAAAAAACCAGTATTTGATGAAACCAAGGCCTGCACAAGGCAGCATCCACAAGCCTACAAAGGAGGCTAAAGAGCCAAATCTGTGCTCTGTAACACCCTAAAAGCTAAATAAAGCAGACAAATGTCACAGAAGTGTACAGGGAAGGTCCACCGCCCAGAAAGGCTCTCCCTTCCCCATAGGTCAGCAGACACCTTTTGTGGCAAACCGCCAAGCCCTCAACATTTTGTCACAAAGCTCTTAACCCAGGTGCAGTTCCTGAAGTGCCACCAGACCAGCCAGCAGTGGCTCCAGGGAGCTGAACAAGCCTTACATGGTTCAGGTAGTTCTCGATCTTGCGCAGGGTGGCCTCGGGCACCTTGATGTGGCAGGGCTTCCTCTGGTTCTCCCCAAGCTCCCGCAGGGAAGTCATGTTGTACATTGCGTGGCTGAGGGGGTTGTTGTTCTTGTCCACCAAGCCAAGGCTCTGCAAAGGAAGAGACAAACTCCCTCAGGCACAAGTCTGCTGCACATCACCAGCTGGAACAGACCATGCAAACCCTCTGAGTCCAAATGCGTGAACTCCAACCCCATATCTCAAATCTATCCCTTCCTGGTCACAGTGAGAAACAATGCATGATCCCATCTAAGCTCTGGTGAAATGGACACATGGGAGCCAACTGCTGCCTGCTCCATCACAATGCTCATGAGGTCTTAAATAGATCCACTGAAGAAATATGATAGACGGGTTTGGGCTGGAAGAGACCTTAAAAGATCATCAAGATCCAACCCCCTGCATGGGCAGGGACACCTCCCACCAGCCCAGGCTGCTCCAAGCCCCATCCAACCTGCCCTTCAACACTGCCAGGGATGGGGCAGCCTCAGCTTCTCTGGGCAACCTGGGCCAGGGTCTCACCACCCTCACAGCAAAAAATTTTGTCCCAAAATCTCATCTTAGGATGAGATTTGGATGTTAGAGCATAGGAAGTTCCACCTCAACATGAAGAAGAGCTTCTTTACTGTAAGGCTTACAGCACACTGGAACAGGCTTCAGAGAGGTCATGGAGTCTCCTTCTCTGGAGACTTTCAAGACCCATCTGGATGCATTTCTGAGTGACCTGCCCTATATTTGGTCCTGCTCTGGCATGGGGGCTGGACTCTATCTTCAGAGGTCCCTTTCAACCCCTAATGTTCTGTAATTAATCTCAATCTCCCCTCTTCCAGCTGGAAACCCTTCCCCCTCATCCCATCCCTCCCTGCCCTTGTCCCAAGTCCCTCCCCAGCTTTCCTGGAGCCCCTTCAGGCACTGGAAGGTGCTCTAAGGTCTCCCTGGAGCCTTCTCTTCTCCAGGCTGAACACCCCACCTCTCCCAGCCTGGCTCCAGAGCAGAGCTGCTCCAGCCCTCCCATCATCTCTGGGGCCTCCTCTGGTCTTGCTCCAGGAGCATCTCCAGGTGGGGTCTCACAAGAGCTGAGTAGAGGGGAAGAATCACCTCCCTTGACCTGCTGGCCACAATTCTGAGAAAACCCTCTGGCAAGGGCTGAGCCCTAAGGTTTATTAAGCATGAAGCCAAAGATTCGAAAGTTTCAGGCTCAGACGCAGCAAGTCAGGTGGAAGGAGCTTCTGTTCACAGGCTCTACAGACACAGGATGCAGCAGCCAGGAGCAGGTACCTTCAGCTTCTGACAGGCCAGTGCTGCTGCTTTGTTTTCTGCCTCCACCTTGCGCCGGCCCTTGGCAGCAAAGGTCATGGGGCAAGGCCAGCGCAGCGTCAGCTTGCAGATCTTGGTCTTGGTGCCCACCGTGCGGAACTGCATGTATTCCTGAAAGGGACAGCAACAGGATCAGGCTGGGGAGAGGAGCCTACCTAACTAGGCAGGCAGCTTCAAACACACCCTGATATTTCTAAGCAGAGCTTAAATTACTGGGTGTGGGGTTTTGAGGGTTTTTTGTGGATTAGTTTTGTTGTTCTGTTTGTTTTTTTAAGAGTGCACTCAACAGTTTTACTGCCCTGAATTCCACCCCCCAGCTCTCAAGGCACTGCCTGAGCAGAAGTGAGAGCAGACACTGTGGGAGACATCACTGAGAACCTCTGGGTGGAGCACAGCTACTGCTGGTTAAGCCCATGAGGTCTGGAAAGGAGCTGGGTGACACATCCCAAGGAGAAGGATCACCAGATACTGGCAAGGATCAAGTTGTGGAAAGGTTCCATCAACAGAGAAATTGCACCTTACTTTGAGCAACACAAACTTGTGTTTGTTGCAGGTGTGTGAGGAAATGCAAACTTAGCACCTTAGAAAATATTCTCCTTCATTCACACAGCAGCTCCTTTGTCACCTTGGCCTCAAGTAACAATATTCCTCATCGTTCTACTGACACATTTCCTCAACTCTCACCACAAAGACTTCTCACTCTCCATGCTAATATTTCTAGGCCTAGTTTCAACCTTCTCCTCTCCCCACTTCTCAGCTGCCCATAAAAGCATCCAAAGTGATTCCAGTTGGAATTTTTGAGCTTCAACCCTGCAGGTCCTGGCAGAGGTCAGTCAGACAGCACCTTACCTTGACTGTGGAGGAAGAAGTTGCAATCTGAATCACTTGGGCCAGGAGATTTTTGGGAAGTGGGAACTGTGTCAGGGCACGGATGGCAGTGTTGTCATCTGTCATTTCAATGGAACTCCCTCCTCGGCTGGATGGAAGGGGAGAACAGTTAGATCTACAAACAGCCACTCTGTGCTCAGACCTGCCTCACTTCAGATCTACTACTGAGCTCTGAAACTGAGTAGTTACAGGCACAGATAATTTTGGTCATCTGAAAAGTGAAGATGTATCTTCCTACTAAAATCTGCCAGCCCTGATATGATCACCCAGCCCAGTAAAGCCACCTACTAAAAAAGAAAGCAAACTTTTACACTAGGACTAAAAACCACACAACATCAACAGCTTTTAACAGATTCAATAAAACAAATACTTCTGAATCCAAAGAACATCCCTAAAAACAACCACGACCACCAGGTCCTTACTGATCTGACTCCTGTTGACTATTCAAAACTAGGGATTTATGCTCCTAAAAGATGAAGTGAAGCAAGCAACCATGGTGATGGAAAGGAGCAGATTTAATACTGCCCTCCAAACCAGGGTGGCTAAACAAGCTGTATGAGCAGCTACCAGGGCAGACATACCTGGCATCTCTGCCTGGGGTTCGAGCATCCTGATGTGCCATGGGCAGATAATCAGAAACATCGATTGCTTCTTCTTCCAGCTCCCCTTCCTCCAGCTCCCCTTCCTCCAGCTCCCCTTCCTCCAGCTCTTCTCTCCTCATTGCTTTGGGCATCCTGCCCTGTTCCATGGGCTGGATGGAATCGTCAGGCTCCATCCGCCGCCAGCAGGTGGAGAGGTCGGCAAGGGAGGGCCCGGACTTGGAGCGCCACTTGCCCTCCGAGCACCACCTCTCATCTGGACAGCCCAGCTGGTCGGCCAGGAGCCGGTACTTGGCAGCATCAAAGAGCTCGTTCCTGGGGCCCAGCAAACCCCAACCCTGAGAGAGAAAAATGCATCCTTAGCTCCAGTAAAGAGACAGGTAACTCTCCAGGAAACAAACATGTCTGGTAAAGGAGAGAAAGGCAGGAGGAATTTCTTTGTATCCCACAGAAAAAGAGAGAAGGGAAAAAGACTTTAAGAAACCTACAGCTTTCCTCCTGCCATTATTTCAGAAGAAAAAGGAATCTGTTCACTAACCTACCTCCCCAAAGCACAACTGCTTAGCATCAGATAGGTTGCCAGAAAAGGTGGGCCAAGATTCATTGTTATTTACAGAAGCTTGTCTGCATTTCACATTCTGAAATTTTGAAGCCCACCTCCGAGCACAAAATGCATCCTTTTGGAAGAGGGAGTCTAACCAAGTGAGATCTGGGATAACACGAGAACTCAAGGCATGGTTCATTCCCTCTCTCTTCACAGCAACATTTGTGTAAGCAGTATTAAGTCCTCCCTAACCAAGCAGTTTGGAAACAGAAGAGCTCCTACTCACTGCTGGCCCAACATCCACATTTAGAGGTGACATTACATGAAGCTCCAGATGTAGCTGGAGTGCCACACATCACGTCTCACCACCCTGCTGCAATATAACAAAAGTGACATCTTTAGGCCTCTCCATGGCACCATATTAGACAAGGCTGAAAGTCAGTGCTGGGGGAGTGCCAAAAACACTAGCTGCTGTACACAGAGTCACTATATCCAGACAGTTTCTGCACCAATTAGGCAACACTACTTTTCTTGAACTGTTTACCGTTTATTTAAAGAATCATTTGTAGCTTTTCCCACAGCTGAGATTGCCCAAGGCTTCCCAGCATGAGGGTCTTCTGTTAGGTTATAGGTTCAGCTGCCAAAGCATGAGTTCAAAACTTCCCATGCTCAATCTATGGTTTCAGGGTTTGGGGTTTTTCTTCCCCTTTTCTTTAGTTCTATACTGAAAATACCATTTAACCACTTCCCAAAATCCAGAAAAAAAAAAATATATCTAAGTGTAGGGAGAATTTTTTTTCTTTGAAAACTTCTAGGCTCCCAAAGGAAGCCGGAAACAATGTTTTTCTTGTACACTGACTAGGGAGGATACAACAGGAACACACTTCCAGTGAGTGGTACCTGAATGAGCACCAAGGGTGCTTCAGGTGGAGTCAGTCAGTGAAACAAACCTTGCTTATTGCAGGATGAAAGACAGAAGCCCAGCACACAGGCCAGCTGAACAAACTTTTAGTTTTAATGCTGCGATTCTGAAAGCTTGATTTAAAAACTAAATAGTTACTTCTTAATGTAGTTCTCTTGATCTACAAGCAAATAAGTAAGTTGTCTTATTGTCAGAGCACCAGCAGCAACTTTTCCAAGCTCCTTAGTAGGAAGATGTCATTGTTCCTACTCCATAGATGTAACTCCAAAGGGTATCAGACACCAGTCTATGGCAGAGCCGAAGAGAAAACTGCATTTTATTCTCAGGTAGCTGCTGTGTAACACTGCATCTTCAACAGTGACCTGACAGCCTTGCTGGACTTGTTTGATCCTGACTCTACACATCTATTCAAAGACTTCTGGCAGAGTAGTGTGACTTCAGAGCAATGGGGAACCTGAACACACAACTGACACACTAGGGCCTACAGAGGGAGGAGAGGAGCCTCTGCAGGTACTACACTCGCTAACAACACACAGGTGCACTGACACATGGGTGGGTTAGTGAGCAGGAACAGCAAACACACCCCAGGGAAGCTCTACCTCTCACCATGGATGCTGAGACTAAGATTAAAGTCTAGGACACAAAGAACAAAGATCAGAACTCAAATAATGTAGTGAGTTCATGTACAGAATTGCAGAGTGGAATGGGTTGGAAGGGACCTTAAAGATCATCCAGTCCCAACCCCTGCCATGGGCAGGGACACCTCCCACTTGACCAGGGTGCTCCCAGCCCCATCCATCCCAGCCTTGAACACTTCCAGGGATGATGCAATGGCTGAAGCAAGTGGGCGTTTAAGCTCCATGGGTTCAGACAGCTCAAGACTTCACCCTCTGCTACTGATGAACAGAAAGGCCAACTGAGAAAGTGAACAGGCAAAGAGAAGTAAGGAATGACCCAGGCCTGCACTCCCAAGGACTTGCTCCTTCCAGCTGAGGAGCATAACTTACCTTGAAAAGCTGACAGGCTGCAGCTGCTGCCTGCCTCTCAGCATCGATCTTCTTGGTCCCATAGCCTTCCACTTCCACATTCTTAGGCCACTTTATATGCAGAGTGACTTTCTGAAAAGCAAAAATAACAAGTAAAGTGAGACAGCACAGAACAATCTCTCTTCTTCACCAGGAACACACCGACTTCAAACACCTCTAACTCCAAGCAAAGAAGGAAACTACAAATGAAAATCCCAAATTAACTCCTTGTTCAGTCCCTTTGGAGGAAGCTCCATTCCAGTGATTTAAAAAGAAAAGCCTGAAAAAGGGATTCAAGGTGTCCACAGTCCCAGAGAAGCTACAGGGCTGAGCCAGGCCCAGAGCCAGGCTGGTTTCCTGCACAGAGCCACATACTCTGGGCTGGAGCTCAGAGGGAACCAAATGCCAAGAGCTCCTTACAGAACAATTCAGTTTCAGGGTAGCTGCTCCTCTGCCCACTGCAACACACCAGCCCATGCCTGAGAAGCAACATGCACCCTCCAACACATTTCCAGCTGCAACGGCAAGCGGCTCTTCCCAACTGCTGCCTTGCTGTCATTTTAACTAGGACCATACTGCATCACAGTCTGTGGGCACAGGAGAACCCAGCCCGCAGCCTGTGCTGGCCAGCACAAGCTATTCAGAGAAGGAACAGCACCACCAGAGCTCCTTTGTTACCAGCACAGCTGGATGAGAGCAGCTGAAAAACCTGCTGAGGCAAAGCCTGCTGAAAGCTGAACCCTGCCCTTTTTAAAACATTGCTCCAAATTGAGAACTCGTTTTACTCCTGGCCCTGCAGATGCTGCAGCTGAGTTTCTGCAAAGCTCCAAGGAGGGAAATGCCTAAGGAATTCTCTCCTGCTATTGCAGCAAAGATGAAAGGTGGCATTTAGTCTGCTGGGAAAACCCCACCTATAAGGCTAGAGAAAAGGCCCCTGACTTCTCAACAGCCTCCATCTGGCTGCCTGCCTGCCATCTGAATCTCATCTGACTGTAGGAAATTGCTCTGTATTCTGCCCAGGGGCTCTGCAGGAAAAGGCACAGACCTGCTGAGAAAATAAGTTGTCTCATGAAGACCAAGTTCCTTGGTACTCATGAAAAAAACCTCACTTGCAACCCAGACTTCCCCTGTTTGTCTCACCTGCACTTCTGTCTTTTTCTGGCTTGTTTGGTTTTTGTGATCCAGCCCTCTTTTTTCTCTAAGAGCTCCTCTATTGGTTTTTTGTTTCCTTTTTTTTTTTTCCCCTGTTTTTTGGGGGTTTATTTTTGCTTTTTGTCTTTTTTTTTTTTTTTTTTAGATCTGAACTAATGCTCAACGTTCATCTACTTACTTACTAGCCAGATTGTGAACTCATCACACAAACTGAACTGAGGAGGCCCTGCCTATAGCATGCCAGCATTTAAGTAAGGAAACTGCACTACTGCTTGAGGAAGAGCAAGACACAAAACCACAGATAATAAAGGAATTCTGAAGTAACTACTACTAATGTATTGCCTGAAACCGGGATGCTTAAAAGGGATGTGGCTATAAAAACTGTCTGGGAAATTTTAGACAATGTTTGGAAAATGTTAATCCATCAGAACTGAATCTTTCCTGGAATGTACACTGCAGTTCAACTTCAGCTGGCAAGGGCTCCCAGCTCCAGGATGAGAGCTGGGGTGATAAAAGGAGGCAAGCCCTCAAACACAGAGCACCCAGCAGCTAAGAACCCCTGCTCAGCTGATGGCACAGATTTGGATCTAGGGCTCTCACATCCCAGGCAGTGCTCAAGCTACTCAGCACACTGTTTGGAATTCCTCTGCTTCATTTAAAAAAAAAAAGAGTCCATATTTCCCTTTACCCTGAAGTAGCATTAGAAGCCTCCCTCCATTGCAAACAAGTTCTTTTCTGGTTGCAATTGAACATTTTAGGCTTGGGCATTTGTTCCATTAGAACCTACAATTAAATCTAGGCCTACTAAGGTCTAAAATACAGCATTTACATTTTAATTATCTAAGGTAGGGGTGTCCGTAGCACGAGACATTTGAGTGCAGATGATGTGTCTTCCTGCTGTTTTTTTTTAAAGTACTTAAAAGGAAAAAATCCATTCTTCCACAGACAAAAGGAGAGGGACAGGACCTACATTTACATGCTTTACATACTTAAAGTATGTGAAAATAAAGAGGAACAGGAAAAAGTGAGAGTATTTCTTGTTGGAAAGATTATTGCACAACTTTTATGTGGAATTACAACGCTTCTATAATTTTCCCTATTAATTAAAGAGTTGCTTCCAGGATTAGCGGTGTTCTTGGCTCACTTCCCACTCTGTGTGCAACATCCCTACCCTCCCTCATCCCCAGCACCAAGGGATTACCTTTTTCCTTGGCCCATTAGTATGGATGTACACCAGCTTATCCCTTGCATGGGAGATGCCCAGGGCTCGGCCAATCACACTGTTGAGCAAGTTTTTAGGCTGCGGAAATTCCTTTAATAAGTCTCTGGAATCTGAAAAAAAAACAACAACAACCAAAATAAAAACAGAATGTCTTCTAATTCTTGTGCAGTCCTGTTCCAAGGCATGTTTTAACACCTGCTTCATTGCAGCCCTGGGAGCAGTACTGTCCCTACAGTCAGCGAGCAGTGAGCAGAAGTATGAAGGGGCTCACTCAGTGTCTGCAGGCATCAGGAAAAGGCTACAGAGGAGAGCAACATCTCCTGAGCTCCAGTGTAACATGACCCTCCAAATTCCAATAGGACACGATGCTGGCTGTTCCACACTTCTCCTGAAAGGCATAGTTTATTTGTTTCCTCTTATTTTTAAACTATGGATATCCTCTAGTTGCAACTGCAGCACCGACACAGACTAATCCCATGATTCACTGACAATCATGTAGCAATTCGCAGAGACTTTTTCTCCCCAATAGAATCCAGTATCAACAGAAAGAACTGACAGACTCCACGCACCTGCTGAATCTGAATACAAATATCCCAGCACATAATTCAAAGCCCACATTAACACATGGAGCTGGTGCTGCTTCCTCACCATGAAGGCAAAAGCAGCTCTGACATTCCTTGATATCCAAACCAAACTGAGCAGTAACTATTAGACATAGGAGGAAATTCTGTGCTGTGAAGGTGGGTAGACCCTAGCCCAGGTTGCCCAGAGAAGCTGTGGCTGCCCCATCCCTGGAAATGTTCAAGGGCAGGTTGGATGAGGCTCTGAGCAAGCTGGTCTAGTGGGAGATGTCCCTGATCATGGCAGGGGGGTTGGACCTACATGATCTTTAAGGTCCCTTCCAATCCAAAACATTCCATGATTCTATTTCAAACAGACTTGGTTATTTGTATCCCCCTCCTGAACCATGTGTATCACTTCAGGGTTAAATCAAGGATCTCCACAACCACCAAGTTACACCTTAGATCCACCCACTGGCAGAAGGGTGACATAACTGCCAAGGGCTTCTCCCTGAATTCACCAAGACTCACTAATAAACAAAACAGAATTCATAAAAGTCACACTACCCCCAGACAGAGCAACGTGATGCCCACCTGGTGTCCCAGCCTCCTCCCTGATGCCAACACCTGCAGTTCTAGCTGGAGAGGAGGTTGCACTACGTCCCCTCTCACAGGCATCCCTGCTGTATCCAGCCCTGCAGACTGAGCCTTAGTTTGGAGCAGCAGCCCAAGTGAGACCAGATGAAATTTAATGTGGTCACAATTCTAGGTGCAGTCACACTACACAAACAGGCAGATCTAACAGCTCACTGTTGTGGGGAAGAGTAGGTGCCACTTCTCCCAAGCTCTACCACCACCACTGCTCTGGCACAAACCCAAACGTACAGGAGCCGATTTGCAGCCCTAATCCAACAGAAAGCTACACCAGAAAACTGGAGCACAGAGCTTTTGCTTCCCTCAGAGCAAATCAGCCACCTGCCCAGTCCTGCAGGCCCCCAAAACCAGTGCAAGGGCACAGGAGAGAGGAACAGGCTCTCCCATTCTGGCAGCAACAAGCACAGCCAGACAACTCCGATCACAAACACATGCTCCCCAGGCAGCTAGAACTTCATTAATCTTGTCACTATCAATGGGTTTGGGCACTAGTTTTTAGAGGGCTTCTAATTCAGAAGTTTCAGCAACAAGTGAGAAGTCAGCAACACGCAATCACTGGTACTGCCAGAATGTGGCATTTCACATTGATCAACCAAATCCAACAAGAAACGAACCAACGGTCACACTCGATTAGAGCATCACCAAGATCTGCCACCACATTTTGCCAAGAACTCTGACTGCAGAATTGCTATAATGATAATACCCTGTAACTGTCTCCAGAGAAGAAGGCAAGCATTAAAGAGGAAGGCCCTGCAACACAAGCATGTGGAAGAGACCTTCTCCAAGAAGCTGCTCAACAGTGGAAAACTGAATTATTTGGGTGTATTACAAGGGCTCAACTGAAAGCTAATCAACAGGGAAATCAGAGGAGCTTTTGGGAAGGCAACAGAGTTAATACTGTACCATGGCACACTCAACACTTGTCAGACTGTAGATACTTGGGTAAGAGAGAGCAATAAAACATGTTGCTGATACCACCCTCTCCAAAAAAAAGAGAGGGTGGCCCAGCACGCTGATCCAATGACTGGTGACACTTTGCTTTGAAAATTGTTCCACAGATGAAACAACTGAATCTCAGAGAAACCTCCTGCAGAGGCCAAACAGTCCAGGTACAGAAGGAATTTGTGTTCCTTGACACACTGAGGAAGGAACTGAAATACAACCCTGTGGGCTGTGATAAGGACATGCAGAGCTGGTGTCACCTGAAGACAGGTCACATTGCAATTCAACAGTTGTCTGGCTCTGGGGGCAGTGGGACTAGGGGGCTGATGTAACTTCCTAACATTTGTTGAATGTTGAATTTTCAACTTTTACAGAGGACAGCACCAAAGTGAACAGATAGAACTGCTGCCTGCTCAGTCTCCTGCCCTCTTCTGTACCTGCTGGTCAGCCTGGGAATCTGCCATTGGAAAGAACAAATCCAGGAGCCCACAAGGCTGCTGATTCTCACACATACTTGGGCAAAACTCTTGGACAATTACAGGGGAAGATGCAGGAAGTGCTCTGATTTAAGAACATCATTTGTCCATTAATTATCTTCTATGTATGGCCAGGAAGGCATGAAAATGGCCTCAGCCTAACAAAGAACTACAAGCCAATTTTTTGTAACTATACAGCAAATGTGACACTTCTCCCAGCTCATACAGCAACCAGCACTATATTCAAACTTTGACCTGTTCAAGGAAACTGGAAAAGTGACTAAGAGCTTGGCACTGCAGCTCTATTCCATTCCACATGGCTGGGATACATGGAGGGAGGAGTAGTAACAGAATTCCCAAATGCACTATTAACCAGGAGCCCACAAGGCTGCTGATTCTCACACATACTTGGGCAAAACTCTTGGACAATTACAGGGGAAGATGCAGGAAGTGCTCTGATTTAAGAACATCATTTGTCCATTAATTATCTTCTATGTATGGCCAGGAAGGCATGAAAATGGCCTCAGCCTAACAAAGAACTACAAGCCAATTTTTTGTAACTATACAGCAAATGTGACATTTCTCCCAGCTCATACAGCAACCAGCACTATATTCAAACTTTGACCTGTTCAAGGAAACTGGAAAAGTGACTAAGAGCTTGGCACTGCAGCTCTATCCCATTCCACATGGCTGGGATACATGGAGGGAGGAGTAGTAACAGAATTCCCAAATGCACTATTAAATTCACTTAATAAATGAGAAATTAAAAAAAAAAAAAAACACAAAACAACACACAACCAAAACTCAAGCCTGTATTATTTGGCATCTGGTTGCTTCCCCTTCCAAAAACAATACCCTGATAAATCTTTTGATAAGTAACAGGCAGAGGGAAGAAGTACATTCTTCTTAAAATGCCCCCCAAAATGCAATTATCTAACGACAGAGCAGATTTCTCACGTACTAAGGGGGTTCCTCAGTGAAGACTAAACATTTAGTCCATCCTAGGGCAGAGAAGAATACGATCTCTAAATAACAAAGCCTAGCTCTGGCTTGCAGATCAGACTCTGAATTACCAACCAAGACACAATGTATTCTTCCCAGCTGACAATGCCACATTCAGCAGTGCCATCTGATGTCCCAACAGTGACTCCAAGGTTTGATAGATCACCCTCAGCCCATCCTGGTCCCAAATTCGAGAGCTGAAAGGATCTGACCTTGTAAGAAGTCATGCTCCACTTGTAGATTTTAAAGAAACAATCTGAAATTGTAGGACTGGATTTGCAGAATGTTCTCCTCCCTGCCAGATTGAATTTCTTGGCATCTTCTTCCAAAGAGTATATTAGTTCCCTCACTGCTGAGAAGGGATATTTGGGTTAGAATCGTATTAGCAGCAGTCACAGCCCTGCAGAGGCAGGGAGTGTAACCTAATGCTCCCAAAACAAAAGAGAGTTGATTTTCACACCCAATTCTATCAAGCCAAAACCACGTATGGTGCCCACACCGCAGCTCCGAGACCATGAAGAAATATTAAAAGCTTGTCTTGAATTGCAAACAATTCAGGGTGGGGCCATCAAAAGAAGCCAATTAACTCATTTAAGTTTCTCCAAACCGTGAGTGCTTTAGCTTAACTTGATTGTAAAAGTCAATGATCATTCCAACAGCACTGAAAGAAAGAAAAAATAAACCCCAACTCTCTCAGCTGTAGTGGCCAAGCCTTCCTTTCAATCTGACAAGTAAAGGCACTGTCAGGTACAGCAGCACAAATAAAATGGCACATAGGCTTGTTCAGGGGAGGCAGAGCAGCATTGGATTTATTTCAACTGTTCCCATCTCCCCTAGAGATGCAACAAACGAGCAGCAAGGACAAACTACTCAACAAGATAGAAGCCCCCGCAGTAATAAATTCGAGGCAGTGAAGAATGCTCCTAATGCATAAAAAATTCACAGGGAGGAAGAAAGCCCTCTGGCTCCATAATATCCTTTTCATAAGGAATTAGCCTAGGCATGTTTTACTAGGGAGAAATGGAGGGAGACAGAAAAGGCTCCACCTGGCAGTTTCGTTTGGAGTACACCAAAACAGCTTCTTTTGTTTGTTTTTTTTTAACCAACATCCAGTGACCCTGACCAAGGCTCTTTCAAGCATACACAGGAATAAAAACACCACGCAGTTCTTGCCTAAACAAGAACAAAATTAAAAACAGGTAAAACTGACAAGGCTCCTTCAATAGCATGCGAGATCACCAAAGAAAGAATCCCAGTGGACACCTCCAGCCTTGGAGACACTCGGATCAACCCGCCCCAGTCTGGCCCTGCCCTGAGAAAGGGATCAGGCCACATGGCATCCAGAGCTCCAGTCCAACCTAAATTCTTCTGTGATACCAAGAGACAGCAAATTTAATTAGTCTCAAAGATTCTTTCTTAGAGCAAAACAGAGGTCAAGATCATGGAAGGCTCAGTAGCAAGTGAAAAGTGC